ATTATCTTTTGAGAGAATTCTTATTTTTCCTATTTTTAACCAAAATAGGATGGAGTGAGCATCACTGAGTGCTAAACACAAGTCTGTTTCATTCATACTGGACACCAGAGGGCACCCTCATGCAGAAACTCCACATAGGCCTCACAGAAGTAATAAAACTCTTGACTTTCTAGGAAATCCCTCATATGGATAAGGCAGGGGTCACCAAACTCGGTCCTGGAGGGCCGCTGTCCTGCAGAGTTTAGCTCCAACTTGCCTCAACACACCTGCCCGGAAGTTTCAAGTATACCTAGTAAGACCTTGATTAGCTGGTTCAGGTGTGTTTGATTGGGGTCGGAGCTGAACTCTACAGGATACTGGCCCTCCAAAACCAAGTTTGGTGACCCCTGGGATAAGGTATCCAGCTATCATTGTAAATGAATAAAAAGAAGATAGAAACGTTTTGAATGATGAAACATGATGACAATAAATACTCGACTGCGACAATATATAGTTTATCTGTGTTCTTCAAGCCATCTCAGGTATTTTTATAATAATTAAGTATATTTATAATCCATTGCTAAAGGACATAGCCTTTATTACAGATAAAATATATTTTCTGCCTCATTCTGTGATAAGAAGCCACATCAGATCACAGAAGGAAGTTATTTCTAACACTAACTGTTACTGATGTTGTGGAGTAAAAACATGTAATAATGTTCTCTTTTGTTGGACAACTGATAGAAACGCTTCTCACTGCAAGTCATTACAAGGGAAGATGTTAGGCTTGTGTTGCTTTTTCAAATGCACGTTATAAGCGGGGAGGTGTTTCCTTATCTCAGCGCTTAAACTCACAGACACACACAGAGCTAAAAATGGAGAAAAATTAAATGCACAGAAATTATTTAAACTCAAAACCGGAAAAAAACGCAATTCACAAGTGTGTATTGAACCATGGATGTCGTACCGAATGGTTCAATATTATATAGAGAATTGTGGCATCCCTATATAAAATGGGTTGGACTCGCATGGACTCGTATTTTAGCTGGAAGCGGTTTAAAGTTAATTTGATAATTACAAACATTTTTCACTTTCGCTGCTTTTCACTTCAGAAGACATCAATTGATGGATTGGAGTAGTGTGGATTACTTGTGAATTATTGTAATGTTTTTATCAGCTGTTTGGACTCTCATTCTGACGGCACCCATTCACTGCAGAGGATCCATTAGTGAGCAGGTGATGCAATGCTTCATTTCTCCAAATCTGTTCCAATGAAGTGTGTTTTCTGTGAGACACCAAACAACACCCAACATTGCTAGTTGAGGCTGATCAGGATGTTTAAAGAAATATGTCTTCATATTGCCACAGTTCTCAGGGAACTCAATCTACAAATTCCTTACTCATAGTTGTTTTTACATAATATGGTGGAGTAATTTTAATGTCAATATAATCACACACTACACCTTTAATATGTTTTATTCCATGGTCTGTCTGAATACTTGATTCTGATTGGCTGGCAGGTATGCATTAAAACTGTTTAATGCACAGGTAATTCCAAGTCAGTTTAATCACCGTTCTATATTAATCCACTGCTTTAACTGACACACACAAACGCACACACACCACTCACACAGAGAGAGAGAGAGATCGGAGATCCCGCTGCGCACACAGAAACGTTCAAGAGTAGGCCAACATAAACTTGTCAATGCTGCCCCACGACTTTTATTTATAAAATGGCTTAGATACTGGATCACTGCATTATATTCCTCAGCAACGAGGAGGTAAAATCTCTGTTTAAGTAACTAAACTCATAAATTGTTTGTAGAGAGAGAGACGCACAGACGCAGGTAATTCTCACACACAACTGTCATCTTTCTCTCTCTCGAACAAACGATCGATAATTAATTCAAATAAATGCTTCGCGTTAGGTGGTTCTTGGCCTCCACGTCGTGCATTTAAAATCCTTTAATGCACGGCAAACCGTTGATTATCCCTTACCTAATTAATATCACACAGCAAGGATGTTGTTGTTCCAGACACCACAAATGTGCTGATATTTAGATATTTTGACTGTGTAATATTTCATTTATACAAGTTCAATAAAAAAATCAGTGGTTTTGAACAAATCGGTTGAGTGGATGATTCAATGACTCACTCATAAATACAGGAGATACTTGTTTTGTTCTTGACTGAATCAGTGTTTTGAATTAATTGGTTGAATAATGATTCAGTGATCAATAAGGGAATCACTTGTTGCCACCTACTAGCGTTATAATGTAACTTGCACTGAAAATGCCCACCACACAGACACAAACATATGGAAGCCCGTTTTCACGATGGAATAAAAAATAAATAAATAAAGGTAAGTTTAAATCTCCCCATTCTGACTTTTTTCCCTTGCAGTTCTGAGGTTACAGTATATCTTGCAATTCTAAAACTCTCAATTCTGATAAGAAAAGTCTCAAAAAATTTTTTTGACTTTTATCTCACAATTTGGACTTTGTGAGATAAAACATCGCAATTATTTGTTTATTTAATTTATGTGATGGGCAGTGTTGGGCTAGTTACTCAAAGAATGTAATATATTACTCATTACTAGTTACTATGTGGGTGGGATGTAATGCCAGAGCAAAGTAAAGCCACAACTTACAAAACAGTGTTCAGATCATTTTTTTCCTGACAAAATCAATAAAATGCTATTTCTATCTGCTGAATGTAAGCTTTTCCATATTCCAAGCTCGCCTGCTGCACTGAGGACATCACATGCATGTGCGAGTCATGAAAATTATGAAAATAAATCTAGAAATTATGTGATCAGCAGAGTTTACACGTCACGTTTTGGTAACGGTACGGTTCACTTGGAACCCCAACCGAAGTGGTACTAAAAAAAGTACCAGGTACCAGGTACTGTACCCAGTGGAAAACCCCCCAAAAGTGAACCGTACCGTGCCGTACCATGCAGTGGAAAAGCGCCATAAGTTACTAGTAACTAGTTACTGCCCAACACTGGTGATGTCACGAATTCCTGTTCCGGCCCTGTCACGAATCCTGTCCATGAACTTCCGTCTGCTTGCCACCAGAGGTCGCCCTCCCATTATAGTAACTCTCACACCACACAGACTGTTACACATCACCCTGGACTACATTTCCCATGCTCCATTGCACTAATCACAAGCTCACCTGAAACCAATCACACACAGCTGCTACCAATAACACACACTATATAAATCAGTCTCACACCACCATTCAACGCCGAGTATTGTTTAGCGTTTATCACTGTTTAGTTGATAGCTACTTTATGGAGCCTGCTCTATCTTTCCCAGTTTAGTCATAGTCTTGCCTTGCCTGTTTTCCCGTGTTCTGATTCTCACCTGTGTATTTCGGATTACCCCTTTCGTCTTGACGTTCGGACTCTGTTTGCCAGTGTTGCCAACTGCTTTCAATTTAAAGTAGCTAAAACTGGTAGCTAAATGTCACTAGATGACATCACAATGGCAAATTCACTGATCTATATAAAGATGAACGTAGATCTTTGGGCAAGATGAGAACATTTGTTCCTTAAACTTTTGAAAAAAGTCTCAAAAAGGGCGGGGAAGTCGCTAAATCTAGCTACGAAGTAGCTAAATTGGCAACACTGCTGTTTGCCCCTGCCTGGATTATTGCTGCGTACCTGGATTATCTCTCTTTGCCTTGCCCTGTTGGATATTGTTTACCGTCGATCGACCCACGCCTGTTAACTGGACTGCTCTTGTGTTTTGCCCGTGCCATACCTGTTCGCTGGTGTTTCGACCCTGCCTGTGTTTGTGACCACGTCTTTTAATAAAAAGCTTGCATATGGATCCGTCTGCTCCGTTACAGGTGATGGGCTTTCATAAAAACACGCAGGGGTGTGTTTCCCAAAAGCATTGTTAACTAACTGTGGTCACAAGTTCTATTGAACTGTATTGGTAATGACAGAACTTGCAACCATAGTTGCTTTTGGGAAACGCACCACAGAGCGATGCAAAATTTCGTAGTGCTGTTGGACTGTATCAGCTTTTGGAACGACACTCCGCCAATCAAATTCGCAGACCAGAACTAACTGTTGTATTGATTTCTGAAATATACATTTGCAATAGAAATAAAATATGACGTCTGTACTAAGAGACCTCTAAAATAAGATCCTTAGAGGGGGCCAGAGCTCTCAGCTTATTACTGTTAAACTATCATGAGTGTGATTGACAGATACTTAACTTCACTTAACCCGGCCAACTAACTACCCTTCTGCTCTGTTTAACAGACATTCAGATGCACCTCAGTTTTACAAGAAGATTGGATTGAGTTCTAAAATTTCGGTTAAAATATGCCTTTCTTCAAACGGCATAAAACATTACACAAATCTATCTCAAAGTCTTATGGGAACCGTCTCTAAGCACCTTGAGGTACATATTGGAAGCGTATGCAAATTGACCCGACTTACCACGAAGCATGTCAAAGTTCTGATGTGTGCATTAAAGACTGTAAAACTGGCTGCACCTCTCTGTGTCGTTAATGTAAATCACACCATTAACCAGATGACTATGCAGGCTGCGGAGAGCTGATGGAATGGAGCATAAATCACCAGATAAAGGTTCAATCAGTGACTGTAACTCTCCGTTCTTCTCTTTGTGTCTCACTTTCACTCTCTCTTTCCAAAGTGCCACTTGAAAAGGGTAGTTAATGGAACTGCTCCACATTGCACTGCCTCTAAAAATTTATCCTTTCCATTCACCTCCGGTTGAGCTGCCTCATTACTGAAAAATGTTTCACTTGCCCTTTTCTATCTCTTAAATTCAATATAAAAAAACAGCCTTGTATAAGATTTAACCATTTCCCATCTCCCCTGCCTGGCACATGATCTTTAAGGAGAAAAAAATGAGGAAAAAAAATTAACTTAAATGATTTTAGCAAATGGCTGCAATATAACAAAGAGTGAAAAATTTAAGGGGGTCTGAATACTTTCCGTACCCACTGTATGTGCTGTCTGGTCGATTCTTAGGTGCTCAGGTGAGGTGTGGGGGCAGATGCTTTGACTGGTTGTTGAATACAGGAAGTCCTCTTTTCAAAATGACCACCAGGCTGCTGTGCAGATGGGCACGATTGTTTCCTCGCTGTCCTCAGGCTGCTACAGCCTCAGCCCGACTACAGACCTGCACAGTCCACCAGACAGAGCCAATGTGCCAGATGTCCCTGTCTTGGATCCGTCCTTCTGCTAGGCACCTTTGTCAGGGCAGTGAACTAGCTAGGATGGAGGAGACGACATTACCATATGAACAAACACAACTAGTCCGACTTGTTGAAAAGGTATCCACCCCAGAGGAAGTGCTTCAGTTGTGGGCAGAACATGGCGGATCTGCCAGTGATGCTGCCAGGTGTCTGGTCCAGCTGAACCTGCGGGTCATGGAGAAGGGTGGTGAAGGAATCCTGCAGGATCCGCGGTGCGAGAGCATGCTGGAGACCGTACACTCTCAGGTAGCCAAGATTGAATTGAAAGTCTGCTCGTCACTGATATTGAGACAGCAGAAGATTATCTTTGTTGTTGTTCTCTCACAGGTGTCCTCAGTGTGGAATGGTTCTCTGGTGGGTCTTCTACGTGCTCTCACTATGTTGGGTCTCCCTTCTGATGCCCCTCTACTCTGCTCCATCCAGAATGAAGTGCTCTGGAGGATCCGGCGCCTCACCTACCGGCACCTGGCGTACCTGGTGGACTGGGTAGCCTTTCAGCGAAGACAAGGGTGGGATTCACATGCTTGACAGAGCTTGATTCCTAATTATAGTCATTACTACCGCAACATAATTTAAAATTTAACATAAAAATTTTTTTTTTACTTTTTATCCCTGTCTATATTTACATATTTTAGAATTTATTTGATTTGACTAAATTCAATAACTCTGATCTATTACATTACTGTTAAAAAGTTTGGGGTCTATAAGATATTTTTGCAGAAATTAACAGTTTTATTCAGTCAGGATGCATTCAATTGATCATTAAATTGGGGAAAAAAATTTTATTTCAATTAAATGCTTCTCTTTTGAACTTTCTATTCTCAAAGAATCCTAAAATAGGTATCATGGCAGCATAACCGCTTTCAATATTTATAATATGTGTTTCTTGAGCACCGAATCAGCATATTAGAATGATTTCTGAAGGATCTTGTGACACTGGAGTAAGACTTGTGGAGACTGTCGTAAAAGGCTGCTGAAAATTCAGCTTTGCCATCGCAAGAATACAGTAAAATACATTTTAAAATATATTATAACAGTTATTTAAAATTGTAATCATTTTCACAATATTACTGTTTTTACTGTATTAGCCTTGCTGAGCATAAGAGACTTCTTACAAAAACAAATCAACCCCAAACGTAAGTATTTGTATGCGTTTGCTTTGAATGAACTGATATGAATTAATATCTATGTCAGTCATTTTTCTTCAAAGTTTCTTAAGTTCTTGATGCTGTAGTTGGTCCAGTAAGTAGCTGGTCTGTTCTCATAATGTTGTTGTTCATGTTGTAATAGGTATGAAAATGAAGCGCTTACCACAGCCCTGCTGAAACAACTGGAGCTACGCTGGACAGAGCTGTGTGACAGTCGTACCATCAGCATTCTCATGGGCCGTGCTTCGCTCTTCACCCCCTCTCTCATGGACAAACTGGAGGACAAAGTGAGTGCACACAAACACCTTTAGCCACCTACACACTTTTGAACACATTTGCTTTATGTTGTATTAGGCTTGTGTAACTTGATTGTCCAGCACTGAACTGTATCGTGTGTTTTCTAGGCTCTGGAGTTGGCAGAGAGCTTCACCGCAGAGGATATCCGGAGGGTGGCATTTGCACTGGCCTCTCAAAACAGGCGTGCCGTTCCTTTATTACGTGCTCTCTCATACCACCTGAACCAGAAACCCTCTTTTGAACTCAAAACACCATTGCTGCTTGACATCGCATACGTTTATGGTCAGTGAGATTTATTTTTTTCCAATTAACCTCATTAAACAGCTTTTTGCCTAGACTTGTATAAATAACTCTAAAAATCTAATTGTGTTCTCATCTTTCTCTAAATAAAAGGTAAGCTGAATTTTCATCAGACACATGTGCTCCAGAGAATAGCGACAGAGCTGTTGCCTAGGTTATCAGAACTGAGTTCCCTCGATGTCACCCGCTGTGCCAAGTCTCTAGCCTTTCTCAAGTGGCTCCACTTGCCTATGTTTGAAGGCTTTGCTCAGGTTGGGATAATTTTTTTATCAAATCAGCACCATCAAGTAAATTATACTTTCCTTGAAGGCAACCTTTTATTTAGTTTGATTTCAGTTGTCTTTCACCAGTCTCCATCAACTTGTTTATTATTTTTCCCCTCTCTGTTGTTTTTCAGCACTATGTGAGTAATAGTGAAAACTACAGCACTCTGCAGGTGTGTAATCTCTTCATATCTTTCGCCAAACTCAACTTCCAACTCGGCAAAGGAGAGGAGTTTTACCAAAAGGTAACCAATAAGAGTTGTAATATTGTATTGTTATTATCCTTGATTAACTGCAATGCTGGGTGTGTATGTATGTGCATGTACGTATTATGTTTTATTGTGTGGCTATAGGTACACAAAGCTTTGGAAGGTTCCTTTCAGAATTTAGAGCCATTCCTGAAAACAGACGTGGTCTGGTCCCTGTGTGTGCTGAACCAAGCCAATCCTTATTACATCTCCTCTGTTACCAAGTATGACTTTCAGAAGAAACTTACAGGTGCGTAGGCATGAATATGCTAAAAATATTCAGAAAAGGCTGTACTCTCCATTTTGGGAAAACTGCTGAATACACATTTCTTACGTAGCACTTTGATTAATATCATTTGATGTTCTCATCCGAAACACATGGTGGCAGTATAGCCTCATTGTCCAGTGTCTGTCTTTACTTTCATTAGAGGCAGATTTAACATGCACTACCCTTCAAAAGTTTGTGGCAAGTAAGAATTTTTTTTTTGTAATTATTTTATTCAGCAAGAACACGTTAACGTTTACATTGTAATCTCTACTTCAAATAATGCTGTTTTGAACTTTCTATTAATCAAAGAATCCTAAAAAAAAATATTTTGGTTTCCATAAAAATATTATGCAGCACAATTAACAATTAATTAACATTAAGAAGAATAATAAATATTTCTTCAGCACCAAATCACTGAAGACTGGAGTAATGGCTGTTCAAAATTCAGCTTTGTAATCACAGGAATACATTTAATTTTAAAATGTATAAAAATAGAATTTATTGTAATATTTCACAATATTGCTGTTTTTACTGTATTTTGATTAAATAAATGCAGAATTGGTGAGTGTAAGGGACTTCTTTCAAAAACATTTAAAAAACTTATCAACCGCAAACCTTTGAAATGGTACTGTATTGTAAGGAATGGTTCACCCCAAAATGAAAATACTCTCGTTATTTATTCACCCACATGTCGATTTAAACTTGTATGCTGTTATTTTTTTCCATGGAACACATAAGCACAAATGTCAATCACCACACTTTTTTTTCATACAAGGACAGTTCATAGTGACCAAGGCTGTCAGTCTGTGCACTATAGTCAGTCTGCAGTAGTAATGTCATGATAAAGTTTTCCTGACCTATCCAGCAGGTGGCATTGTGGATCGGACTGAGAGCTATCGGCTGAAATTGCTGCATATCTCTGCCTTTGCTCAGCTGGAGCCTCTAGGAATCACTATTGAATCCCCCACTGTGCTGCTGCCAGCTCCCCAGGGCAAAGTGGAGGTCAGCACCCCTCTGCAGAGCAGCCTACACACAGCCCTCCAGAGCCTGACAAACGGCCGGACACAGGCCCTCCGCACTGCTGTCAAAACCATATTCGGCTGGACAATAGGTAAGTAGCAACTATGAACACCAGAGCGATGCAAGTTAAATACTTTTTCCAAGGTAACAGAGGGCATATTTGTTTCCCATTCATGGATTATGAATACTTAAGCAGTAGTCTAACAGAATCTCCTGTTAATATGTGAATCTGTTCACCACAGATGGAGAGCTTATGGTAGATTCAGAAAGTAAGCCTATTGATTTGGAGAACTTGAAAGCCCCTCATTTACCTGGAGGCGGTGGACGTGATGCCTTACCTGCAGGGGCACGGAGGTGAGTGTTAAAGTGAAAGCCTTGTCCTAAGTTCACATACAGATGATTTCTAAATTTGTCAGTTGTGTATGTCTATTTGCAGAATAGCATTTGTGGCTTGGGAGTTTCCTAACTTTTGTCTCAGGAGCAAGGATCTGCTGGGCCGCTTTGCCATGCAGAAACGCCACCTACAGCTGGCTGGGTTCATATTGGTGGAGGTGAGACAGTGAAATACAAGGATAGGATATGTAAACATGTCTGTTCATTTTAAGTATAAAAGCCCATTCTCACCAAGAATGATAATTAGTGTTCACACCAATAGATAATAACATGTCATCTGGCACTTAAAATGTTTAAGCTCTTTGAAGTTGAATGGGTTTTGATTGGCTGTCCATGTTTTTACTGTTAATCATTCTGAAAGTGACTCCAATGCTATCTTTCCTACGGTGCCCATAAGGTGACATGTTCGGTTCACTTAGTTTTGTCGTGGCCACGACATAATAACCCGTGGGAACGTGATAATATGTCGTGGCCATGAGATATTAATTTGAGGGAACGTCATATTAACTTGTGGGAACGTGATATTATGTCGTGGCCACAAGATCATTTTGTCGAGGTAACGACATCCTTATGTCGTGGCCTCGAGGTGCTATGTCGAGGGAACGACATCCAGGGGAAATAAGCATATATAACAATAAATATAAAAATATAGCCCTAATAAGTTAATGTAATAATAAAAATAATAATATACAAATAGCCTATTAAATTAAATGTTTAATGTTAATAAAAATGTTTTATCTATGTTTGATAATCCCGGGTTGCTATGGTCACGCAGGATTGTTTATGCATTAAACTCGTGGCCACGAGAAAAATATGTTGTTCCCTCAACATAGCATCTCGAGGCCACGACATAAGGATGCCTGCCGCTTTAACCTTTCAAGCTCTTTGATGTTGATGTTAAGGTTTTTAATGTTCATCAACTGGAAAGGAAAACGGCCTGAACGTGATTCCAACAATAGTGTTCCTCTTTGTCTTAATCCTTATAGTTGTGATGATGACCTCTTTATTGCCATAGAATTAGAACAATTATTAAAACATTTATCATTACAGTTATACTTGTTGTGAAACGATTACTAAAACTTTATAGTAAATATTATAGTTATTGTACCTGGTAAATGAGCTTTAATGAAGTGCAAGGTTAGCAGTGTTTACTGCACAAAAGTAAGCTACTTTTGTAAGTATACTTTAAGGATAAGTTATGTGGGCATTAGGGGTTAGATGGTCAGTATTAGCTGTATATCATTTACTGATGGTCTTCCAACTCGCAATACCACTTCTTATTAGATATACTCTCCGTTTTATAATACTGGTGTAGTTAGCCTGATTAGCTGTATTCCTATTGTCACAGTTATTACATGGCAGGCAGTCCCCCGGGCTTTGGGTTATAAATAGCGGCAATAAAGACAGAACTGTGGAAAAGGACTCAGGCTCTGTCTGCAGCATGTAGGTCAATCCTGTTAGCCCTCTGTCTCCTGGAGTACAGTTCGATAGAGTTGGCTGGACTCGTCTTGACTTCCAACTGAGCACAGGGCTGACATAATGTTCTTGCCATTTGATGCGCTAGCTGACCATTTTAATACACCAGAGTTCATAACACTGCTCCACTTTCTGAGATTAATTTTGCGTTCCAATTCCATTGTCAATTATGTAGTAGTGTATGAAGCACAGTTTACACAGAAGTCATTTTCAAACCAAAAGCAGCTTACTGTTGGCCAATGCAGCAAATCCTAGGTCATGAACAAGTTGAACTTGTTCTGGAATCTTTCACCCTTATGCAAAATGTCAGATTCCATTGATTTCTATTGAAATGACAAGCCGAAAAAACGTAAATGTTGACCACACCTTCACTCTCAAGTACACCGATGAGTCACAACCTCACCCCTTATGTGTTCCCCTACAGGTGCCGTACTTTGAATGGCTGGAGCTGAAGTCCGACTGGCAGAAAGTGGCTTACTTGAAAGACAAATTAGGGAAGGCAGTGACTGAGGACATGGCTAAATGAGCCATCAAGCCTGTCAATAACTTTAAATACTTTTGACACAGGCTGCTCATAGACATCAACAGCGCCAGACAATAACATGACTTACAGGTGAAGGAATGACATAGATATTGAGTACTACATATACACACAACAGAGAGATTGCTGCAGCATCCTCAAGTCCCATAACCCATCTGAACATCAGAGTGGAAATCAAATGCGTCTGGGAACTGTGATCAATCTCTGCAGGAACAGAAAGCAGAGCCTCCAGAAATCAGCAGATGCTCGGAAGCAACAGAGTTGTGTATCCGCTGCCTTCCCAAAAAAGAAACACTGAGCCAAAGAGTTAGGCATATGTTATAAAATTAAAGCGTGACTGATCTGAAGGGCATAAGCAATGTTCACCACAGGGGGAAACAACTAAATTATCAGAGCTTTGTGTTAATTGTCCACGTCCTCACAAACAACTGGATGTTCACACTCTCTCCTTCCACTTATAATAAATACATACACCTTTTGGTTTTGATGCAGTTGCCTAGACAACACATGGGCTTTCCTTGTTGCCAAGGAGACAGTTGTTATGTTGGAAATATTTATGGCTAAAGGGATTGAGAGTTCAGTACTAAAATATACTTTTATTACACTTAGAAAGCACCACTCTATTGGTGTTAATTAAAAAGAACAAGTAAAATAACTCTACTTGCTTCACCTGATATCTGAACATTTGTGAATATGCTTGCGATTTAATAAAATATATGTAAAACAAGGCAGTATGTAATAATACATATTGGATTTTTATATTTTATTTTAAATATTTATTTTGGAAAGGTTGTCTCTGCATTCTGGTATGTTGCAGACCCATTATTTGCTGTCGGGTAAGCCTGACTTGTCAGTCTTCATGGAGAATAGACCTTCCTGTTGAAATCTTGAAAAATTTTGTGCAGAGAATTGATTTTTCATTTAGACTTTCACCTCAGTGTTTGCAATGTGTGGTATCAATAATAAAAACGAATCTCGGATTTTCATCAAAGAGCATATGGTGACTTATTGCTGTATTCTGTGAGTGTGGTTTGTTAATGTTGGCTGTCTGTCTGCAGTCATGCTGTGATGTGCTATATCTCAAAATATTTTGTGCAATGAGCATAGAATTCTGATGAAATGTGAAACTGGTCTTGATTTATTTTCCTATCAGTTACTATGATTTAAGACTTCATAAACGGACTCTGTGAGGTATGGTTTTTTGTGGTGCTGCGCAAAGTCCTGATGTGGATCATAATCTAATAAACGTCTTTTTAATAATGACCTGTCTATTATCAATTAACAAACATTTAAGTTTATCTTTCCTTGGCTCAAATATGCAGTGTATGCAGTTCCCCTCAAGTTCACAGCAGGGTAAACACGTGGTTCATCACAGTAAATATGAACTTTCAACTTTCTTCTTAATTATATCTATTGATTTAGAATTTGGAGCCTAACGAAATGAAATGTTGCTTTTAAAGTCTTTGGTCTATATTTCTTTAAAATAAATATCACTTGGCTGGTATAACGCAACACCTTTGCTTTGTTTTGAGTATCCAAATATTTTTGGGACAGGCCTCAAAAGGACCTAAGTTACCTCTTTTCTGGACAGATTGCCAACCAGCACAACAGTTAAATGAACAAAATATTAAAATTGAGTAACTTACATTTTAGACACAATTACAGGTTACTTTGTCGGTTTTGCTCCGCCAGGTTCCCCATAGCGACCCCTAGAGGACGCAGTTCGAAGTTCCACGAAAGGGAACGTTTCGGAGCAACATGGAAGCAATCTGCGTTTTGAACGAATCGGTTTAATAAATGATTCAATTGACTCGCTCATAAAGAACAGTCACTTGTTGCCATCTACTGGCAATATTAGATGAAATCCATCTTGGAATCACCACCAAGCAGACAACAGTTTGTCAAAAACGCGCAAAAACACAAACAATCGGAATGATACAAACAGTGAAGTTTCAGCCCTTTGAACAGCTCCATCACATCCGAGGACTTGACTGTTGTATAATATAGACATAGTTCAAAAGTATGCAAAATAATTTGACAGTATGAATCTATTGCAAACGATAATCGCGGACAATCAAACACACCCTGCGTCCCAATGTTCATACTATCCATCCTAAATAGTATGTGAGATTATAATAAGTGTGTCCTAAAGCATAGTATGTTGAAAAGAATAGTCTATGCCAAACGTCCCCGGATGGTCTACTATTTCAGGTCGATTTTTGAAGTGTGGATCCGTGCACACTCTAATGGCTTTGGCGAAGGATTCGGTCCAGAACTACAAACACGAATAAAACGCGTTAGAAAAACTACAAACGTGGCGGATGCGCGCGATCGACGGTTAGGTAGAGAGGTTTACAAAAAGGGGTTTGAGTTATATAATAATCAACATTTAACCTGGTAAAAAATATTTATTTATTGTTATCCGTGTTATATTTCATCTGCAACAGCCATGTGAACTTTTATAAACATCTATTTGGTCGTTAACTTTTAAATGCATCATTAGTTCTCCACATGAAAGACCCGCGACTGGTAGATCAACGAGCTACTTCTTTTCTCTCCAGTACGGTAGGAAGTTAAATTAAATTAAATGTGGAGGATGTTAACTGTGACAAGATGATCGACAGGCCAGTTTACAGTGACAGGGTGCGTGGTGCGACAGAGCGGCTCAATAAAGACGCAATTGTGTGACGTGCTAGTATGTCCCAAAGCTTGCCTACTCTTCTATACACACTCAAAAGTGTGTACTTTTTCTTAACCAAAAGAGTACATACTTTAAGGGCGTAGTATAAGTAGGCACATTGGGACGCAGCAACGGACTCCAGGTCCAGGGCCCATTATTTGAGGAGAGTTTCACGGGATTGTGCCCGCTCTCGGTTGTTTAGCCTGCCCGGCCCTCTCACTGAAAATGAACTCCGGGTAAAAAAAATTTCCCCCGAACTGCTCGCTGTGCCAAACTTTACCATCCCCTGCTAAAAGAAAAAGTCTGTTCACCTGCTAGAAAAAAAAAATTGTCAAGGGATGAAGGTTATTTTAATGCCATATACTTCTAAAAGATAAAGGTTCTTTAGTAAGTAAATTTTATCTATATAGCACATTTAAACATAGCAAAGCTATCCAAAGTGCCGAACAATATAAAATAAATTTAAAAGAGAGAAGAAAAAAAAACTAAACAAGACAGACAATAAAACAACAATAAAGTGAGATTAAAATGCTAAAGAGAAGAGATACGTTTTCGACCTCAATTGGTAATGGAATGGAAGATGGTAATGGAAGATGCAAGGCAGATGTCCAGAGGCAATTGGTTCCACAGACGGAGGGGCAGTGACAGAAAAAGCTCTGTCACCTTTCGTTTTCAAATGGGAACGAGGGACAAATAAAAAAACCCTATCAGCGGATCTTACAAGTTTGGTAGATGACAAAGGGATAAGAAGATCTTTGAGATAAGATGGAGCTTGATGGTTAAGAGCTTTAAAAACAAACAACAGAATCTTAAACTGAACTCTAAAATGGACCGTCCAGAAGCCAGTGAAGGGAAGCTAAAATTGGGGTGACATGGTCATATTTCTTTGCCCCAGTCAGCAGCCTTGCAGCTGCATTTTGTACCAACTGGAGGCGTGAAAGCGATGACTGAGGAAGACCTGAGTACAATGAATTACAGTAATCTAAACGAGAGGTAATAAAAGCATGAATAAACTTCTCCAAATCTTGAAAAGACAAAAACTATTTAAGTTTGGAAATGACCCGCAATTGATGAAAACTGTTCCTAACAACAGAATTGATTTGTTTGGATAAACCTAATTCTGAGTCTATGATAACACCCAGGTTTCTAACCTGTGAGGAAATTGAGGTGAAATGATTGCCCAGCTCCTTCATGATATCCGTCCTCATTTTTGGGGGACTAAAAACAATAATTTCTGTTTTGTTCTCATTTAGTTTTTACATTTCTGAGATACATTCCAACAAGGGTTGAATGGAATCATCACCAGCTTTTAGTGGGAGGTACAACTGTGTACAGGGACGCGGGAAGTAGGGGTGCTGAGGGGGCTGCAGCACCCCCTGTTTTCACATGGTTGCAAATGCAACGCCAAATTTGTTCATTTAAATGTATTCAGTTTTAGCATTTAATAATTTATTTGTAATGATCTCTGAAATGTAAATTGTAAGTGGGCTATAATAAACCCATGTTTATCTTTATAAACATGATTAATTTTACTTGTGATGTTCTCTATATGGGATGATTAGCTTAATCCTCATGAACACGTGACGCTAGCGCGTGGTATCAGACATGAACTATACAAAATGCGAACAAGATTAACTTTAATACAAGGAGATAATGGCGCAAAAGCGAATTTCAGATTTTTTTTAATGCCCATCCCAGCAAAAACTTTCCAAAATCGGCATCCAAACAACACCAGCCCCAGCACGAGCATCGACATAAGTGAACCAGACCCCCTCCCCCCCATCCTTTCTCCCAACACAGACACACACAGCACCCCCAACCGAAAATATCTTCCCTGACTGTGTATCATCAGCATATAAATTAAAAGAAACATTGTGCTTCCTAATAATATCCCCCAGAGGGTGCATATATAAGTTAAAAAGAAGCTGCCCCAGAATAGAGCCCTGAGGTACTCCACTAATAATTGGGGCAGATGATGAGGGAAAACTTGCCTAGCTCTACAGAAAAAGACCTGTCTTTGAGATATGAGCTGAACCATCGTAAGGCTGTGCCCCTGATACTGATCAAATGTTCTAAATGCCAAATAAGAACATTATGATCTACAGTATCAAAGGCAGCTGTAAGATCAAGTAGAATCAGTACCGCATTTTTACCGGCATCGACTGCAACAAAAATATCATTGAACACTTTAAGCAAAGCAGACTCTGTACTGTGATAAGCAGTGAAACCAGATTAAAAGGTTCTGATAAGTTAGCTGTATTTAAGAATGGGATTGACTGTAATTGCACAACTTTTTCTAATAGTTTTGTCAGAAATTATAACTTTTGAGACAGGATGAAAATTATTAAAGCAACTTTCACCAAACCTTGCTTCTTAAGCAAAGGCTGAACAACCGCATGCTTAAAGCAGTTCGGAACCACACCAGTGTCCAAAGATGAGTTAATCAACACTTGGACACTGGGGCCAATTACTGGAAAAGCTGCTTTTATGATCTCAGAAGGAACAACATCCAGTGAGGAGTTAGTAGACTTCATTTTGTTAACGAGATCGGAAAGTTCCATTAAAGAGACATGTTGAAAATGACTAAATGAAAATGGACTAG